GGGCCCTGCTACCCTATACCGCTTTGAGGCTCAACAGAACTCAGTTCTCTCCCAGTAGGGCGCCCCACGCCTTCTGGGCCTTCTCGTTTCTCCGCGACAATCCAGGCTGATTAGAAGCGGGACGTCGGTTTGACGAACCTTTACGCGCCTCGCGCAAGGACAACCCGTCCGAAGACGGGTGTCTCTAAAAATAAACATCGTTGGGTGTTTACACATTGCCCAGCAGCTCGGAGATCTCCCTCCTCCTTCACAGCATAGCTGAATTCAATTGACTCAGGCCCGCTCGACGAGCTTTGAGGGTGGGCCTTCCGACCAAGTCGTGCCGACTTGAAGTTGAATTCGGCATTCAATGCCACGCTCACCGCTTATTCAAAAGATGACGGATGCACAAAGAGGACTTCCATTCTGGCCACGCCAGTGTGGAGGCCCTCCATGGTCCCTGCGACCGCCTCTGGGAGAGGATCTGCTGCGATCCTGGCAATGAGAATTATCAACCCTTGAACACAGTCCGCCAACTCCTTCTTGCCCTGTAAACGCGATCGCACGCAATATGCCTGATTTGGCGGTGAGAACACTCGCAAAAGCTGCAGCTTCAGCAACTTTCAGGAGGGTAATGTGCGGTGCTTCGATTAAAGCACCACACGCACGACCCCCGAGCCTGGAGTTAGCTAGCGCCACGCGCTGTTGCTCGTTTCGGAGCAAGGCGGATGCCATAGCCATCTCGGCCTCTCTCATCCAAACCAGGAGATTACGTCGACAGCGGCTGTGATGCTACCGTCGACGCTGACATCTTTTGCTTTAAGTTCTCTAACAGAACATTTTCATACCTTAAAAATGACTTGAGGCGCGCACTTATGGCCTCGGACCCTTGCGCAACGAGGTACTCCGCGCAGTAGGGAAATCAGCTTATTAAGCCCGTCCTGCATGCCCTGGGGCAAATAGGAGTATTTCTGTATGCTCACAGAGAATCCGTCGTAACGACTCAGGCGTAGATTGACTACGAGATCTACCAAGTGCAGTGGGGTTGCCGTAGCTTTTTGCTTAGAGGAAGATAAGCTTAGGTCACCAACCTTACGATCTTTCCAAAAACCAGTACGAGTGTAGCGGATCAGGAGTAAACATCGCGTCTGTGTTCTTGGTCGTGCAACCCTATCAATGACAATGCGCTGCGCAGTACTCGTTTATTGAGATCTTGGGCTGCGCTTACCTTGAAGCCGCGGACGTTCTCGGAATCAGCGAGGCTGGGTGTCTTTTGCGTTCTCGACACAGGGCTCATTGAGCAGAGAATTCGTGAAGAAGGTCTTGGTGATGTTAGCCACGCGAGCCTCGTTCGAGGCGACAGTTGAATGTGAACTGTAGGTGTTCACAGCGTGATGGGGGATAGTGCAACAAGGTTGCAAGTTCTGGTATGAAGGGTCTGGACTGTCAGTAGTTACATGTTTCACAATGTATAGAGGAAAACCTAAAAATGTTGGCGGCTTTGCCGCAAATAAAACCCAAGAAACTCAGATTACGGTTTAAACGGAAGAGTTAATGAGCCTTGGGTTTAAGGTTGTAATTACTCTTGGAGTAAGATTCTGTACACTCTTACTTGTTCTAAGTATAGAACAAAAGTCACAGACCTTTACCAAGCTTCCTCTAAGCAAAAGAGCTACAGCGGCCCCGCTGCAGATTTGATTTGTAATGCAACCTATTCTAAGTCATGTTAGTGTAACGTACGAAATACTGCTTTAAGCGGACTTTTCTGTAATCCATGGAAGCTTTTCAAGGTCAATGTTCCCACCAGATAATACAATACCAATGTTAGTGACTTTTGCCGGCAGTTTGTTCGTGAGGACAGCTGCCGTTGCAACGGCGCCACTAGGTTCCACGACCTAAATCAGATTGAAAAAAATTAACAATAGCTTAGATTTACTGTTCAGCGATACAATTCTTACCAACTTCATGCGTTCCCAAATAAGCTTCATGGCCCACACAATTTCGTCATCGGTGACGAGGAGAATATCGTCCACGAAATCGCGCACAATGGGCCAGTTGTTATCACCTGGAGTCGATAGTGAGCGTCAATGCAATTTTACTTCTACAGCCCACGAACTCCATACCTAAAATTGTTCGAAGCCCGTCAGCAACAGTATTGACGGGAGTTGAATGGCCCATCAGCTCACGTTTTTGAAAAGAGTTATAAGCATCAGCTGCACCGGCAGGCTCTACGGCAAAGACCTTAATACCAGGTTGAACAGACTGTCACGCAATAACATCTTCGCATGACTGCTTCATCAAGTTTTGAAACCAAGAAATTGTAGATGTGCATACCTTGGCAGCCATAGCAACACCCGAACAAAGACCGGCACCCCCAATAGGTACAACGATAGCATCTAAATCAACGCCATATTCCTGCTTCACTTGCTCCAGTATTTCTAATGCAATTGTGCCCTGTCCACTCATGACATCAATATCATTGGAAGAGTGCACAAAGTAAGCACCAGTTGCCTCAACTATCTCATTTGCAGCCTTTGCACGAGCCTCGTTAGTTGGTTCACACAGAACTATGTCAGCACCGTAGCCACGAACAGCGTTCTGCTTGACACTTGGCGAATTTTTAGGCTGCAAAGCATAAATGTCTGAGTTCCCTCAACTTTTGAAATTAAAATAATACAACATCGTCATACCATAACAATCACTGCCTTGCAGTTGGCATCTCTAGCTGCAAGACTCAAGGCCTGTGCGTGATTGCCGCTCGAGTGCGTGATAAATGTTGTGTTCGTCATGTTCTCTTGCTCTGTCTCGTGCAAGAACTTCTTGACTGCATTTAATGCGCCACGATACTTAAAAGCTCCGACTTTTTGAAAATTCTCACACTGTTCACAACAACAATAAACTCAATACATACGCGATACAAGCTAACTAATTAGCCTTATGAAAATACCTTAAAGAACAATTGTTTTGGGGTCGGGCTCTTTTCATTGACAATCATTTCAAGAGCGTGGCACTTTTGTACTGGCGTGCGGTGCGCATGACCATCAATACGAGCAGCAGCTGCCAGCACACTGGTCAACGAGATGGCGTAGTCAGACATCAACAGCGATTAATTCAAAAAATAGACTGTAATTTACATTTTCGAAAAAGCGACAAATAGAAGAAGAGCACGAGTTATAATACTGGTTACTGCAGCTCATCTTCAAGAAAACTGTACTCAAATGTAAACTCTGTCTTGATCCGTTGACACCAGCCAGTCTCGTAGTCAAAATAGACAAAAGTGCCCTGTTCGTAGTCCTCTCCTGTCACTTGTGGCTCTTCATGACGCTTAAACCATGTCTTGTACTTCTTGTGATAACCCCAAGTCCGTCGCTTGAGCTCACGAGCAGCCAAGTACTGTTGATATGAGCCCTGCTGGTAGTAGAAGATGAAAAATAGCGTGTCGACATCCAATTTCTCGAAAATAGGAGCACTAGAGAATAATGGGGACGGCGAGGCTGGAAAAGACGAGGGTGTGGGGTATAAATTGCGTGGAACGTAACGGTTGACCTTTTCAGAGTCACGGCTCTCGGGAATGAAGTGAAAGCTTTCATCAATCAACCGCAAGACCTGCTTCTGTTCTTCTGTAAGCTTGGGTGAATTCTCTGGCCGAGAATTTGACGCTGCCACTGTAGGCGGTGACGCAGCAGATTCAGCTCCAGATAGAGTAGGAGCTGGTACAGCTGCTGGTGCAGTTGTTGAAGAGTTCGTAGATGCACTTGGCGAGGGATTAGGAATTGGCGGTGGTAATGAGGCAGTTGAAGGTGAAGGTGATGGACCTGAAACTGAAAGCTTGGCTGGTGCTGGTGACGCAGACGACGACGACGAGCTCGTGCCCCCAAACTGCCCTTTTCCTACACTAGGAGATGGCGTGCGCTGTGGAGTGGGTGGTGATATCTGACAACCTGGCGTACTTACAGCTGGGGAAGAAGATACTGGGGTCGGTGCTTTACTTAATCCTTTCTCTGACGAAGAAGACCCACTTTTTGGACGCTGCGGAGTCGTGCGTGCCTTGGCCAATTTCGAGTCATCAGACTTGTTGACATCAAGTGGCGAAACATCATTCTTAGTGGCGCTAGTTGAGCGACTAGGCGTTGACGTCTTGAGATCGATAGGTTTAACCACACCAGCACGTCCAATACCTGTAATGACCGATGTCGTTACACTTTTGCGTGGTGTCTTCCCACGTGCTGATGTAGTCGTAGGAACAGTAGTCGATGCTGCGGATGCTACTACACTTGCATCCTCAATACCAACGTCCTGCTCTGTAGGAAGTGCCACCTGAAGCTGCTGTCCAAGGGTATCGAGATCAAGTGACTCGTAAATGTCATCACCTCCGCACGTTTCCATAAAGTCCGGCTCTTGATTTGCCTCCAAATAGTACTCAACATCCTCTTTTAAAACGTCCACCTGTTCTGGCTCAAGCGCCGCATTATCTAGAAGTCGATTGATTTGCTCGAGCTTCAGAATGTGCCACTTGTGCTGAGATAGTAGCTTTTCCTTTTCCACAATCTCGCTCTTGTTGCGACTGCGCCCCTTTGCTGAGTGTAGACGCTCAACATCGCTCTCAAGTGCCTCAATTTGAACATTAAATTGATTCAGACAGTCCTGAATCCATGCGTGAGATTGCTGTCGCGCTTGCTGTTCCGGGTCAAGACGTTCGACCTGTGCCAATCCTTCCTTACTATAAGCTTTAGTCTTAGTCTCCTTTTCACAAACTTTAAACTCCTCCATTTTATGCTCAATAAGTTTACGAGCATCCACGAGCGGTCGTTTGTCTTTGACATCCGAATTGCCAATCCATGTCTTAATTTGGTCACGAAAGCGCTGCAGTTTTTTAATCTCTTTCTTCAGATCGGCCTCATGCTTTTCCTTCTGATTTTGGGCAGTAGCCGCGTACACCTTGTCCCATATCTCGTTAAATACTTCCACACCTTCGCTCACCTTCTTGAGCGTGCGATCAATCTCGCTCAAGAGCTTGCGCTGGCCTGCCATGGTCACTTGTGTTTGTATATAAAGGGGGCGATTGAGCAGACTGGTTTGGGTTGGACATAATAGAAATATATTCATCCAATCACAAAGAGATTTGTACTGAAGAATCACCTAACGCTTAAGTGACGATCATGGCTAATGTGATGCTAACGAGTGAGGCGGCTAAGGACCCCAACAAGCCTTTTGCAGTGCGCGTTGAGGATGTGTGCACTAAATTTGATGTGGGTATCGTGGTTTTAAGGAGTCTAAGGGCACTAGGATAATACGTTATGATTTTGTGTGGCCGTGTAGGAGCTTGTCTCTGAGTGTTTGACGCTTGTGCAATTCGAGGAGCAACCAACGTGAGTTTAATTCTGTAGTGAATCATAACTGAGTTTCTTATTCGCTTTATTGTAGTAGTAACGAAGGCGAGATTCAAACTAGTATGGAGGATCAAGTGGTCAAAAAGCTGGAGCAGTTCAATTCAGTGTGCGACGAGCTGTACAAAGAGATAGTACGACAACACTGAAGATACGAATCGTGCGGCGGAAGTACTGACACGATTTTTGATGATTCTGATATTGCTGACAGCTTCGACGAAAAGAAAAGCTTTTGTATCTCATGGAAAAGAGTCCGAAAAACGTGGATCTGCATCGTCAAATTCAAACGGCAGGTAACTTGGCCCAAGTCGTCGGCGACTTTCGGCATTTTCTAGAGACAGGAACAGATGCGACGCAATCGAAGAGTTACATTAATTAGAAGAAAACTCATCTAATAATACAAGCTACACTGGTATTTTCATGCTAGCCGATCGGAAGTGAAAATGAGGCAGAGCCTACAACAATAAACGCAGCACTTACATGGCTTAGATCTCACTGAATGGCAGTGAAGGTGTCGTCGTTGCCTCAATAGACCGCGTGTTCGATGAAGTCGTCGTCCTTGTAGAAACTGGCGATACGAACGCGGGTGTGAGGTCTGCATCGACACTATGTTCCGACTCATCCGTCACATCAAAGTAGGGCAGGACCGAATTTGAAAAGAGGGGCGGCTCCAGAGTTGTTTTCGGGTTTATGTCATCTTCGACTGTATTTGACCGAAGCAACCATTCTAGTACGGAGCTATCGGTCGGAGAGCAGTGCATTGAAGAAGGACCCAGAGGCATTTGATGTTGCTTGGCGATGAAGTCATTCTGTCGTAAGTATAAGATATAGAAATGAGTGAATCGATGACTGTCTGCACTTAAATGTCAGCTGACGTAACCTGGTTTTGGACGAGCTGGCTTAAGTGACGAAGCTGGCCCGCAAGTCCATCAATCTTCCGGCTCAGCCTATCCTCTAACGAAGTTAAATCTGCAATTTCATGCAAATGTTAATAGTCAGCAGTGTGAGCCAAATAGTGCAGCTACTACTATCTCATTGACTCACTGACCTCGTTTTGATACTTTGGGAGGAGGCTCTTTTCCACGAATGGATGAATCTAAATTATAGGAGCTCGGATGTTTACGCTTCGACAATACGCAAATCGCATTCGTGAATACTGGTGTAAGGTCTGCCACATTGGCAGTGCACTGTTCTTGATCAACTTCAATGCGTAGCTTGAATCTTTGTCCATCCTTTCGCCGACTCACTTTTTCGAGACGAAACTGCACTAATGCCTTGCGTGATGCCGCTCGTATGACTACCGAGTCGTAGTCGTTTCCTACAAACCGAAATATTTCTTGGTCTGTGTCATCTACGCGCTTTCCAGACTCAAAAAAGAGCAAAATACGAAGAGGTATGTCAATAAAATCCTTATCTGGAGATCGCGCAGACTCTCCAAGCTCGTTAAACTCCACCAATGTCACCTCCACCTCAAGTGCATTTGCCTTACCACCTTCGTCTTTATAAAATTCAGACGCAGGCTGCTTTGTGATCACTAATCGACGTGTCCAATTCAACCGCTTAGATGAAAAACTTGACAGCGATACCGCTTCTGGTGTCGAAGCACTAGATGACGATGGAGTTGACACTGCTGTCGGCAATGTTGAGCTTAAAAGTGTCGGCGATGGCCAGCTGACAACTGCTGCTGCATCTCCTCCCGAGTGACTACTTACACTTATAAGGTCTGATAGATGGAAGCTCGACTCCTGTAGCTCTTGCTTCGATACTCTTCTAGGAGCAGCGGCAGTGATGTGCATTTTTACGCAAAGCAAGTTGCTAAATGACATCAAGTCAGTGCTTATCCCCATCAAAGATGTCGTCACTTTTGGGACGAGAAGCTGAGACCCGCGGCTAGACGGGAAGCGACTGCTAACGCTCGCACGTCAAAAGCCCATCAGCTTACACAGAACAAATGCAACTGGCAGGAGGCAACAAAATGCATCATCAATACCGATACACAATAAAAATGTAGCCATGTTTGCTCAAATGTACCGGTACTGTAACACGCAAAAGTTTCAGCCAATCAAATGCGTTGTTTCCTTGGCCAATAAATGAATTAGCTTTTTGCGTAAGGAAGACGCGATGGAGGTGCACAAGGGCGCGAGCCGCCTCCTAACATGTGCGCGTCTGGACCGTGAGAGTGATTCTCGGCACCAGAATGCCATCAAGCGTCCGCTAATAGCTAATTGGCACGAAAAAATTGGAAGGAATGGCCAAGTATATATCAGTATTAGTAGCGAGGAAGATGAAGAAATGGAAGATAAGGAACGAGAAGACGCAAGTATCGAGCAGAGTACACTAGATTTTGATGCTAGCAGAAGAAAGCAGCCTGATATTGTAACAATTGATAGCAGTAGTGACGAAGAGGTGGAATTGGTGCGAGTGAAGAGGAATCTAAGGGGACAGGAAGAGCAGGATGCTAATAACAAAAAAGAGAAAGCAAAAAGTAAAGCAGTTGATGCAAACAATGGTAAGAAGCATTCATTTATTGAAGAGAAGGAGATAGAGAGAGAAAAGCAGCTTGAGTTTGCAGTTCAGAAGCCTCAAAAACTTCCAAGACAGATTGCTACAAGAGCAAGCGTTGTGCGGAATGCGCATCATGTGGCCAAAGTACGAAAGCGCCGGCTTGGAGAGGAAGATGCTGCATTTCTGCTGTTTTATGGTCACAGAGAAACCCCCAATGCGAGTATTTTACGGCTGATTATTGGTTTGTGACGCTAAAGTATCATGAACGATTAAGTATGACTTATGACTGTGCTGATGACTGTGCAGAATTAATATCGACAGGGGTGGGTGCGCCAAACAAATTTTTGTCAAAATTTATTAAATACTTGCTTTGGTGCAAGCTTAGCTCAACGGTAGATGCGGGTCTGGCTTATGAGCGTCTCGTGCAGTCTGAGTGGACAAAAATTGTCTTCAGCTGTCCTGTACCACCTCACCGTCGGAGATCAGGCCCGATGCCTCGTCCAACTCTATTGACACGACCCATCACGATTACAGTGCAGCCATTACAGTTGGTACGGAAACAGCCGCAACGTCGCAGTTTGTGCGTGTCAGTTAAGGCCAGTAGCGCCAAGAATGGGGATAAATGCGAGTCGGTGGATCTATATCCGACGCCAGACGAGAATATCGAGGATGTAGCAAAGAGATCGTCTGAAAAAAGTTTGCGCTCCAAACCAGTCTCGAAGAGTCCCAAAAAGAGCACAAATGCGGCTCAGACAAAGTCTCCTCGAGGTGAAGTGCGTAAACGCCCACTCAACTCAACAAAAATTGGTACAATGATATCTAGTAATGCACACACTGGTCATATTGACACTTCATCACCACGAAAACATCAGCGTCGTGATGATAGAGTAGCTTTACCGCTTGTAAATCCGCGCCAAGTTGTGCAAGCCACGAGTCTTAGTGCTCAGAGTATCAGTCAAAAGCTTATGGAGCCTCTGCCATGCGATTGTCGGATACTAGGGGAAAACTGGAGTCTTCCTTACGGCTGGCGACCAATTGGTCACGACCAGGCTAGGTCTTCGCTAATGGTAACTTGTGTAGAAGTAAATCCGATGCTGCGGATGACTGCGGATGAGATTGCTCTACACATTGCATCAGTTCGTCGAGAAGGCCGCTTTACTAGTTTTGAGAAGGTTACTGAGATTTTATTGAAACTAATGTCGGATCCACGTAATCGACACGGAATTTTTAATACGCCAGTGGATCCAGTGGCTCAAGACTTGCCTACTTACACATCGATCGTACAGCGTCCAATGGATCTTGGTACCATCAAATGCAATCTCTTTGCTGGAAAATATCTCGAGCTTGACGATCTTGTTTCCGACGTTCGTTTAGTGTTTGAAAACGCAATGCTATTTAACCCTGCTTCACACTACGTCCATGTCGATGCTGAAATTCTTTTGAATCGATTTAATGAATTATTAACGGCGGAACAAAATCGACAGCTGAAACGACAACGAGTGCAGCATTCTTGTTTAGTATGTCGTGGGAACTCATGTATTGTTTGTCACCAGCAATGCCTAGAAACCACTCCACCGCATTTGCAGTGCTCTGGAGGCTGTACTACTGAGATCCGTAAAGGTTCAGTATATTTCATAACCGAAGATGGTACTCGTATTTGGTGTCAGAAGTGTAAAGCTCGTTTGACGAGGGATCACAGCTCGGCAGATCGACCATGTGATAATGATACATTCGTGATGTTGAATTCTCTTGTAAAAAAGAAATGTGAAATTACGGTGGAACCGTGGGTGAAGTGTGGGGAATGTAATCGTTGGCTTCACCAGGTCTGTGGTCTCTATAATCCGGTGATGGGGGCATACGATGCACTAAAACCCCAAAGCAGAGGATCTAATGGGAAGACCTTCTTCACCAATTCATATGTCTGTCCATTATGTCGTTGCCGACGAAAGCGTGCGACCATTTCCCCAAAATGTTCAATGCGCAAAACTTTGCACGCTCATCCTGACGAGCACATGCAAACCAATTCTTTTCTCAATATTCCAAGCTGTGAATTAAGTATATTTATCCAAAAGTTTCTATGTCGTGGTCTAAATGATATTGGCGAGCACGAAGCTGCCCAAACCCTTTATGTACGGGTGTTGTCATTCCCAGGCGAATGTTTTACCGTTTCAGAGAGTGTGGTGCAGACTTTTGATGAAAATGCGCAGCTTCTCTCTCAGCTGCGGCCAGGCACCAAGACGAGCTCGCAACGTATACCTTCTCAAATAACTTATCTCTCTCGTGGTCTTTATCTATTTCAAAAGCACGAAGGAATGGAGGTTTGTCTCTTTACAATCTACGCTCAAGAATTTGGCGACAACTGTGAGCTCGAAGCTAATCGACGTGCTGTATACATCGCCTATTTGGATAGTGTTCGATATCTAAAACCCACAAGTGCACGGACGACGGCGTATCACCTGATTCTACTAGCTTACTTTGACTACATGCGGCGCCATGGTTTCTCTCGCGTTCACATTTGGTCATGTCCACCGCAAAAACGAATTAGTTATATATTTTGGTGTCGTCCATCGTTTCAAAAGACTCCTAGTGCGGAACATTTGCGTCGATGGTATAATACATTGTTACTTAAAGCAAAAGAGTGTGGAATTGTCAAGAATTGGACAACACTGTATGATAGATACTTCAAAGAAAGTGACTGTAGCGAGTTGACACCATCTGCCTCAAGTGCGTCGGTGAGTGAGAAGACAACCCCTGGAGTTTCAACTCGAGGCACTGCCGTCTTGTCTATGAATCCTAATGAGTTTGTATGGCCTGCAAACCAATTACCATCGATATTTGATGGTGATATTTTTCCTTCTGAGCTCGAACGAATACTTGGGCGCATCAAGTCCAGAAATGAAAAGCAAGAACGAGCACGCGAAAACAAGAAACTTGTGGTGTATGGCACAACTAATACTGCTGGTCGCGCAGGTGGAAAGATGAATGGCAATTTATTGTCTAAACAGGATGAAGCGACGAGTACGTCAGCGTCATCAGCATCGCAATCGGTGCAAGTTAATGTTAAACTACGCGAAGTTTTCCTAAAGTGTCAATTTGCATTTCAACGATTAAAAAACGATTTACTGGTGGTGGATCTACAAGAGGTCAATGATTTATCAAGTGAGACCCGAGAAATGCTTAGTTGCCAACCGGAGACACTTGTGTCATCCTGGTACGAGCAGGTCCCTCGTTTCTTCAGCAGTCGTTTTATGTTCCATCAATTGTGTTCACTTGCCGGCTATCAATTTGATTCACTTCGTCGTGCCAAGCACTCTACCATGATGATGGTCCATCATTTTTTCAACGAACAGGTAGCTCAACTCAATATCTTTTGCCGCGAATGCAGCCTCCTGATTACTCGTGCCAATTTTTGGTCCTGTTCAACTTGTGTACGCTTTGCATTATGCGACTTTTGTTATCGACGCCATTGCAACGAGCATCCACATCCTCTTGTCTTCGGTGCTGCTCCACTGAAAATTCCGTCTCGGATCTCGCAACTTCCACTTGAGCAGCAGCGAGAACCGCATTGAATATTAAAATTGTCAACTACTCGTGTCGTATAAATGGATCGTACTGTTCAAAGATATGAATTATTATAACTGTGTAGCTACTCAAAGTGCAATATTTATATGTTGATCATTTTCGTGACTATTAAAAGTTTATGGAGCTTACGCTCGATGCCGTTGCAAAAGACGCTTTTCGCCGCGAGTTTTTCTATCGTTGCTTTACAAATCGAGAGGTACAAGCTTTGGAGTTACGCTTTGCCTTATTGTATCGTATTCGGCAGTACAAACGCCTCGTGGGGCGACGCGACTTGCTACCACGTGCCGTAAGTTGACTATTTAGTTTATTTCTTATAATTTCCGACATTTTGTGCACAAAAAATACATAACTAGGCTAAAGACATTGTAGCATCATATTTACAGCAAGTAGAGTCAACAAACCAATTGTTGTTGCCTCTATCAGCTGAACCACTTCGTACTCGCGTGATCAATGCGGTAGAGGGAGATTACTGTCCTCTAGATCTATTTAATGGAATTGAGACGCTTGTATATGAACACATGACGCGTGAAGTATTTCCGCAATTTCTGCATAGCCAAGAATACACGAAATTGTGCGATGCTCTGAGGTCGAGACGACAAGTGCCACTTGCTCAAGTGCTTGTTGATACAAGACGTACACAATTTCTCATGAACTTTTTATCAAAAGAATATTCAGGAGAAGAAGGCAACTTGCTCTTCTGGGTGCATGTCCAGACGAGATTTTTACCATTGATTCAAACGACACTATTCTCAGTTGCACTGTTTGAAGAGGTTCAGCGCCAAGTGCGTCATGTGTTCAATCGATTTCTGGTGGGAGAGCGGGAAGTAGAAAAAAATGGTGCGACTCAAGTTCCAGAAGCTGTGCGGCGAGCGACGTTGCAGCAAATCATGAAATTGCAAAGTGAACCATTTTCTCCACCTCGTTACGCAAATTTATTTCGTGCTGCACAGGACTGCGTCTGGGAATGGCTACAAACTGTCTATCCAAAATTTTATGCTTCTAGCCTATATGTTATGCTCGTGGTGGAAATGGAAGATATCGAGTCAGACCAACAGTTACGACGCTTAAGTGAGTACGTGTTGGCGTCGGAGACGAAATGTGTTGCAGGACTTCAAGAGAGTCCAAATGAAGTAATGACGTCAAAGTGTGATGCGCATTTAAAAGCCAAGACTGTGCTTGTACCGATCAAAGTTTCTCCGTTTAATCCGTTATGGATACAAGAAACTGAATGCAAACGTTGCCATTATAATCGTGTACTTGCAATAGAAGAGTTAGCTCAACTTGGAATAAACAGTCTTTCTATTGCTTCAACAATATCGTCAAATACGCCCTGTACAGATCAAGTTGTCTTTGAGCTGTTCTGTTCTGGAAACCAGCAAGAAGTTGCTGCACAGATGCACCCAACGTATTTGGTATCGTCAATTTGTTTGTGTCAGCGATTTCTTATTGCTTATTGGTCGCATATCTTTGGCAGAACCACTGGTGCATGAATATGATGGAACCAGCTAGCGATACTATATTGTCTCCGTCTGGGCGTCCAACGAAACCGGCTGGTCAAACTGTTATCTCTCTGGCTTACATATACTGTGCTGTTTTGCTTACTGGTCCTTGGTTTTTATTACAGTACCGAAGCCTTCTTCTCACGATTTTGTCTTACCTCTCGATGAACCCAGCGAAACAACCAATTCTCGCTATCTTTACGGCGTTTGTCTTACTTTGTGGCGACAAAAATCCGCTCAAGAGAAGCCACACACACCCAATGTCAATGATCTTACTACTAGAACAGCAGATGCTGCAGTGGGAGAGCTTGTTGCTACCGCGCAATTTTATAAGCAAGTTTTTACTGTTTTGACTACCGAATTGAAGCACAAGAAAAGTCGTCGGCTGTTATTGCAACTGGCATCAAAAAAATCGGTACGATCCAAACACTGAATAAACGAAAATGTGTTATACTCACCCGACGAAAAATGTTCATCGCTACTCTAGGATGATCTCACCGCTGATACAATTACTCAATCAGTTACATCAATTTTCAACTGTGCAAGTAACGTTTATCAACTTTTATGTCCACGATACAGTGGCTTTTACTTACAGCCGCATCTACGTACGGTCGACATATCATTAAGCTCTGTATTCAAAGAGATTAGCGCTCAGGTACTTAACGAACAACAATTTGTTACCCTAAGACATCGTAACCTCCTTGTGTCTGTCGCTAGACTGTAATTAATATTTTAGCGTCAATTCTTGTTGGTAGGTCCATAATCGTGGTGTCCAATCGGTCTTCAGCTCTTGTCTCGGTCATTGAAGCTATTCGAGAATTACTCAAGCCGTTTGAATGGACGGTAAACGCCACCATTGTATTGCTCAGTCTAATCTTACGACTAACTAGAGTTCAAACTTTGAAAAATCTGCAGCATATATATTTGCCATTTTGCTCGGTGTTAATGTCCACTAAATTGCGGGATATTGGACTTTTTCTCGATTCAAACATTTCTCCATTTCTTCTTGGCTACGAAGGCATGCTTTCGTTGTCAAAAAAAGATTCAGGAATAGATCAACGGTATCGAATCCGTGAGTCATGTGATTTCAGCTTGTCATGTCTTGAAAATGTTAACACCGAGTACATAACTCAAGGAAACAGCTTTTATACGACCCACAAGGTCTCTCTGAGTCTTCAAGCTCCACTTACGGCTGGAAGGTATGAATACCCGCCAGAGCTCTTACAGACAACGGCAATAGTCATTGATATTGACTCGGACGATACGTACGTTCCGGAAAGAGCTGAGATTCCCGAGCTTCCGCGTGAGTTTATTGCTATGTCTGTGAATTTAAGTTGAGTCTCACCGTATACTTGGCGTGTGCGAACAGAGGCAATCGTACGAGAACTAGAAATTAATCTGAATCTAGCCCTTCGTAGCTCTCGCATCTCTCAAGCAGATTCTTATCTCTTCAATTCCAGCAGAAGTCGAAGCCCTCTACAAGAAATGCTCGAAAAAGCCAAGGTTGAGGGTACAAATGCGGAGATTGCAGTGAATACAAACACTCCGTCTCTGGATGATCAAGTCCGTCTTGCGTTCTTGTGGTTCCTTGAAGCGTTATTGGGCGACGTTGTATACTACTTTTGCTGTCTTCGCCAAGCCTTTGCGATAGATAATCAATCAACTTCAGCCGAAGTTGACAAATTTCTTTTGTTTGAAATTGATTCCTTCCTGGATGCCCACACTGAGCTCGGCTGTCGCGATTTCTTCCGTCAGTGCTTCCACACTGAGGTAACTTTCTCTCGAACTCTATACTCCCCCCATCTAATCACACTTATTGAATTGTAGCTCTTCCGCAAATACTTGCTGGACCAGCATATGCGGTTTACTTTTAAAAGCGTTAGCAACGACCTTGGATTCATCGAGCATACAGAGCCGCACCAAGAGCTCCTACCTGACGAATTTATCTAATTGTAGACAACAGAAATTCATTTCTTTCTGTCAAGTAAAATTTCATTGCATAATTAAGCATCACATCATAATTCTTCATGTCGTAGAGGTTTGTTGAATTCCACCAACTCATCCAAAGTCACGAACTGGAACTTGCGTGATAGCACCGGTAGGGCCGTTTTCAAGACGCCAATTGTCCATGAGCGGTCATGAACGATAATGATTGATCCACAGTCAGTGCGATTTCGCAAATACATTGAGTTGATAGTCTCGGACCGAATCTGCGCGTCGTGAGGGTAGACGCTGCCCAAACAGATGCGATAGCCGTGACGCGCTGTTATCTCTCTCATGGGTGTCGTGAACCAACCCGACGCAGGACGAATCCACTTGTTCTTCGAGTGCTTAGTTTGTTTCATAGCATTCGTTGCCGGCAGAGAAGTTTCTAATTTCTTTTCCTCAAGCAATAGCTGCTGCGTCTCCGGTGGATTTGGAATCATCAGCGTCTCTTGATCAGTCACCCCCTGTTGAAATTCACTGATGGCTCGCTCACATTCCTGTATTTTCTGCTCAAAGACGTGCAGCTCGTCTAAAATGCTAGCTCGATCCTCCGTAAGATGGTTTGCTAGTGTATGACCCTCACTCACAATTCGGCGAAGTACCTCTTCATTGCCTGGGATGTGTCCTGAAATGATAAAAAAGGTCGCTTTGATGCTATGTTCGCGTAAAATATCAAGAATGGCGGGTGTAGAAGATGATGGTGCATCGTCAATAGTAAGGGAACATATGCGTGACGTTGTACGCACGCTCCATAGCACGGACGGATGCGAGTTCCACTCAACGAAGCGCAACAGCCAACGTGGTAGCAAGTACACGGATAAGAGAAATATGCTGGAAATGACGAAAACACAAACACCTGCAATTTGCAAAAACGCTGACGCCTCGACATTGTCGACCACTTCGATGTCTTCAGCAGAAACTATAGCAAGCAATGCCGCTGCCGAGAATCGCGAGGCTACACTTGGAAATGAGCCCATCGCTACAATTGTATATAAATTGGGAAATGCTGAAATATGTTTTTAGTGTTTGTTCTATGTAACAAATCGTAAAAATTGGCCTATGGTCTGAGTGATGGTCAAATTGCCACGCAATACATTGTAGTGGAATTCCTGGAATCATCCTCGTGGATCAAGTAGAAGCATATTTCTTGCAATTGCTGAAGTGAAGACAAAGACGGGATAAAACTATCAAATGCAAGTGCTGGAATTACTTGAGCTAGACGCTCGACGAGGCAAAAAGCCGAATCCACTCTACTAAAACGCATCCGTTTGAATCTACAGAAACTTGGATACACCATCTTCGATAGACTCGAGTGACAGCTCCGAAGCATCAGTGGCCGTAAGGTGAATTCCTACACCCATGAGGACGCGTTTAATGGCTTCCTTGGACGACGCGTACAACATTTTAGACTTGATACGAGCCGTGTCTGGTGACCTAAAATAATACCAGGCAAATTGTTAGTTTTCACAAAAATGAAAGAAAAACGACGAGCATGTTGTCGGCCCGTACCAAGAGAGAAACACAATTTTGCTTGTCGGACGGCCATCTTTAGTGGTCAAATCCAAATCCACAAGAGCGTATCGGCAATCATTTGTGATCTTCGCAAGCTTGTCGGCCATGTCCTGATACGACTCGGAGCTAGGACCCGTGGATTCAATCACAATCTGAGAATCATCTTCGATCTTGTAAATGAAGTAACGGTAGTCATGCGGGGCGCGTTTTAGCTTAAAGTCGTTAAACTGCGTAATGACCTCGTCATCAACACCAACACCTGATGACTATGAGCGAGAAAGGTGAAGCAGCAAGCATCAAACAATTAGCGAAGAAAGTCACACGTTGGATGAGGCATAAAGTGCCACGTACCATACTGAACTAATGGACTGAGCTGGCTGAGTCTTGAGATGAGATTTGGTGAGTGTGAGAAAAATTGCTCCCCCTCGGAAAAGTGTGAGCATATTTCATTTATATAATAATTACCTAACAGATTTAGATGTCCACCAATGAATAGAGGTCAGCCCCCCCGAATTAAGTGCACCACCTTAACTAAAAGCTATACCTGCCGCTGTACAGCTGCCAGCGCCACCTGTGCGCTCTTAGCCAGCATCGAGTCCTCACCTTGGATAAGTGTGTGGAGACGTTGCGTGGTAGCAGGCACATTAAGCAGTCGTCTCGCTTCAGGATGCGCCGCCACCACAGCAACTAACTTGGTTGTGTGCAGCTGGAGTGGCACCATCTTAGTCTGCAGCAGTTGATTGATATTTGCTAGTCCCTTATTCGCTACGATCTGTCGCTTAATCTCATCGTGTGCTGCTAAAGTCATGAGTGCTCCAGCACTAGAAGCCTCTACCATTTGCTGTTTGTCATTCAGTAACATGCACAGTCGCGGCACTACTTCACTGTGTTTGACAACCGCCTTGCGCACCTTGTCCATAAAGCCTAGCGCTGCCAAAGCGTCACAAGATGCGGTTCTCACTTCATGGTTTGGAGAGTGCAGTTGCTTATAGCATTGAGCTATAACCCCTAACTCCAGTGCGTGATTCGTGGTATCGTTCGTGCCATCGTTTACTAAATTCTTCAACAATTTAAGCGCACAAATTCGTAGTGCGTCGTTCAAACGGTGGCTTTTAAGATGATCAAGGACAACTGAGAGATATCCCGCACTTGTCAAACGACGAGCTCTAGTGAAGGAACCAGTTGAGCTCAAGAGCGCATGGTAAAGGTGTTCACATGTACGTTTACTGGACGCAGCGGCGAAGACAGGCTTAATGCGAGTGATAATTTCATCCTTCAGTATCTCCGAGTGTGCGCATACAGACATGGCCATGACACTCAAAACTCTTGCAGAAAGTTCTTGCACTTTGATCTCGCTTTCGGACAATTGTGTAGATCGATTGGTCTTGCCTTCATCAAGGCCGATGACGATCAAACTTACGACAAGCTCTAAAATACCATATTTCATATAGATCACAAGCTCTTGCGGCAATGCTAATACAGTTGTCAATGCCTCTAAAACGCGACAACGTAGCAAAATATCACCTTCCACTAATGCATTCAGGACGTGAGGATGATTGTCAAAGCCGAAGGCCTCGCTGACTCGTTCATATGGTATGTCATTAATTTCACCTTTAGCTGCTACAAGCGTAAGATGCTGAGAAGTTGAGCGTTTCTTGGATAGCGTCAAGCTCTGAGACTCAGAGGCTTTAGCTGACTTGATTAATGCATCAATCGTAAACATTGTTCCTACTACGATAATACTAAAGAATGATAGCAGTTATTGCCGCTATGACAACAGTTACTATTAAGAAAATAGGTGATCGGTTATCTTTCAACCAGTGTATAAATGTAGCATGATAACCTTGTGCTATAAACTGCTCGCCCTTCAATGAATAACTCCAGGGTCTCCTGTAGTACATATACGAAAATACTGTAGTAGTTGATGGGAATAAACATACTCCGAAGTAATCTTGTAACAGGGCAAGTTTGGTGATCGTGTCTTAATTGTATGTAGTAAGTATAATACTTGTAGTACTGAGATGTCATGTTGCAAAATCAGAATAATCATAAGAAAGATGAAGACTAAATATATTCTTTCATATGTGATTCTACACAAGAGGTGCAAATTGACCACTTACTATTTTCATGCTAGAAAATACACAAGAGTGAGAGAAGGTTTTTCATTGACTGCCTACGGCTGAGCTTTACCAGATGTTCAACCTGTTAAATGCGCAGCAATTTTCATTATCTTCACAGCGTATGGTTTTGTATTGCATTTAATCTTGCAATACGTTACTTTTACGTATCTTCATTCGAATCTTAAAAAGCAAAGCAATTCTTTTCGTTTTACTGCGCACCATAGCTGTCCTACATATTAGTCAGCAATATCATAACTGATCAAGAGTTTTTGGTGTTTCTTGAAGTTGCCATTCGTTAGCGTTGGTATCCTGCACCACCTTTACTGTAGCTATTGAAGCTCACTTTTCTTCATCGTCACTTCAGACCTAACATGACCTTTTCATAGTGAACCCATCTCTACTTTGAAATAGCAGAGCAAAAACAGCAGTTCACTGATTGGTTACTATAGGGGCTCTCTGTTCCTCCCCTTGCAAGATCACACAAACCCAGCCTCTATGCGTTTGACAGCGCGAACTCTAAAATTCAACGCGTCTTCTGTGCGAAATGCACCTGGGCATTAAGTAGCACTTGTAGTCAATCTACGCCCGCGCCGTGGAGAGACTGCAACCTCTGCGAGTATGAAACGTTTATATTCCAATCTTCGGGACAAATGAAGCAGCTCAACAAAATTTGGTTTACTTTAAGTCGCAAGGAGTCAGAAAATTGACGGCCAATGAACAGTAAGCGGTTCTGGAGAAGCTCGCCAGCTTTTTTAAAATTGCGCTCGTAAGGCAAGTCCAAGAGTGCCAGACTCGGGCGCCGGTGGTGTAAGCAAAAGTTTCCACAGATAGCCGCTACTAATGGTTGTCTAGCCTTCGAGAGTCAGGGTGGATCAGATTTCTTTTTCTGAATGCGAGAACTGATATAAACATGCATTAGGCCTTGCAGAAACCGAAGCCACAGCGCGTAACACTTGCGATCTTTAAGCTAAGAGGCCGCGTGCGAGCATGAGCACTTACGTGCAATATCCCTTGTAAAGAGGCGCTCCCAGCGTCGAGTGATATGGAGCGACGAAAGTCGCGGATACTTGCACCGCCAAACCAAGAGTATTGGGTGACTTTAAAGCATTTGTCTACCCGCTATAACTGACAAACTTAGCTCTCCCAGCGCGTCAGAGCCGGAAAAACTCAGCTGTTCTGATGCTTGAGGTGCCAGGAAGCTCCGTTGTAGCCGCCTATGTTTCAATTGCGGTAGTGTAAACATCAGTGTCTTGCGTGTACTCATGCCCTCAGCTGATAGATACAAAGGGTCAAGCTTACAAGAGAGGACAGGCGACGAACCCATCATAAGGAAATACAAGCTCCAAAAGGCACGGGACGATCTACTGGGAAGAACGATCTACTGGGAAGAGTGAGCTGGGTTCAATTGTACCTCCTGGAGTCTGTGGTCAATGGAGACCAGACATCAAAATGTAGCAACTTTCTTATGTTGGTGAAAATTACAGAACTAAGATGCTGGTTGAGACTTCAACGTCCCGAGATTTGTTAAACCGCAGAACGTCCTAGTAGATTTAGAAGTGTCGTGCAATTATGCACGATGTGCGAATGATGAAAATAGCTGACGTCATGCGGGGAATCGAAGATACCAATTGCGGGTACAGTGTCTGCGCGTCATGTGATGTGAACAATTGTAAAAGTTTCAAATGAATTTTAGCCCTATAGTGATATTTGATGACATGGACAGTGTGAAACATCGTTTAGTCCGAAAACAATACTTACATTAAGGTTTCACTTTAGACATGGTAGCATAAAATTTTACGAGACACGGGCCGACCTGCAGTACTAAATTCTTGGTCGAGGCACTTTTCTCCTGGTGGTCGGTTCATTGGCGCATACTGAACCGTCTTCTTCAGAAAAACAGAAGCGCTTTTGAAGCGGTCAAAAAGCTACGATGGATCCCTAAGAAACTTTGATCTGTCCGAGATTGATATAAATGGTATTGCCTGGTGGCTCGAGCGGAACTCGAAAAGCAGAAGCGACAGTGAGCCAAAGGTACAGAATGAGACGAGGTTAGAAGGCTATATGTGGTGGCCGCAAAAAGGTGTCTTTGATAGGGCTGAATCGAAAAAGTTGTGAGTTGTTGTCTCCCGCGCTAGGGCCGGTGGAGAATGGTAGCGCCTGAGGGTCGAAACCCTCTATGCCAGAGCCAATATAGTTGTAGGGTCATTGTAAGTCACGAGTGAAAGGACAAGGTGATGAAGATCAAAAGGATGATTTATATCTGTCGTGATGTGTCGGTGCTACTGAGTCAGCACTGAGTTGCAAAACAGTGAGCATACGATTGGTACCCAATAGAACTTATACAGTCATCCATAATAGAAAAAATCTGTTTTTGAGGAAATTCGCAGATCGCTAAGTGCAAAGAATGAAAGAACTATACACAAAGACCCTACGATTTTTTTTTCTTTGATGAAGGATTATCAAGACGTGGCGATATCAGACCCACCATCTCTCACCTGTGAATAAATTAGTGCGGCATAAAATTGACTTGGTTCCACGAACCAGATATTGCTCCCACTGGAACAGTCTAATGCATCAGCGACGTCCAATCGTCTGCTGACACAGCTATACAGACCACATCACGGCTACTCATCAATATATTTTGACGATGTGTTGTCGCGCAGAGCGCGGAAAAATGGATGTTAACCACAGCACAAACTTCTTACGAGGTGTATGCGCTTGAATAATCTATTCGCCAGTTAAGGTTAGGGTGTCTTTGACGCAGCGAAACTCGTTTTCTGATTCGCATCGGTAGAAAGTAGCGGCTGACATAATTTCACGGCGATGAAGGCCAGTGTATCTGCTCTAAAAGAACTTGAGGAGGTGGCATGATCTGGCCCGCTGTTTGTACACCTATAGTTCACACTATGCCGAAGGCGCGACCTCTCACCAACCTCCTAAAAATAGATGTTAGATGATGTAGGGGTGCGGCAGAAGGGTAGCGAGATAAAGTCTCATGAGTGCCCCGATTCTAGCTTTTTCGGATACATATCGGCCGTCTCATATCGTCTTTGAGGCTTCGGCCTTTGCATTAGACTGCGCTAAGCTTCAAGCAGATGTTAAATAGGCATGAACAAGTGGTCGTATTTGAGTTTCACCAGCTAAATGCTGCTGTTTAGACTATGAGCTATCTGCAATGAAATATGTATTCGTCAAGTTCAGAGTGTATATGCTAGGCTTTACATCTATCGTGATATATTCGTATCATGCGTCGTTGCACATAGCGATGTCGTCACAGCTTCACTCAGATCGACTGAAGCCGAGTATACGGCGTAAGCGGATAAGCACATTTATACACACGCCGAAAACGTGTCAACGGGGTAAGCTACTCGGCACCTTTGACCAGACTGCTTGCCCGCCCAGAGAGCTGACAGCAAAGTGTGCATCTGACACTGGTATTGGCGACTCCGATCGAGGCTTAGTCTCGCTGATATTAGCAATTATCTGACCGGTGAGGATACAGTCAAGATTTTTCTCGAGAAAGTGTCTCACCAACATGACTTACCAGTATCCATGCCTTTGAACTGACGTCTGTGCTTTACAGCAAAGTTTTGGCAATTACAATAAAAGTGCTTGATGCAAATGATTATACCACACGCTTAACATCCGCAAATAGATGGTTGGACGGAGCGCATAAATTATGGTGTTGAGAATATTTTTCAGAGCACTTGTGCGGAAAGAATGTGGTGCTGGCGTTGCTCCCACTTTTTGAGTTCGCGTTGAATCAGCATATGCCTGTATAGACTTTACCGTATTTTTAAATTGACCATTAAACCCCGGGTGCCTTTGACACCACCACGAAGTGGCCTCGGTCTTGATAGTGAGAGGCTGCCGATTAAGATCAGCTTGGTGATATCAGCTCGGCTACGCTTCATGTCAAAATCAGTGATTTTATCGCAATGAAAATGAGCGTCATACACATGGTGTGCGATGCTATCGCATTTGACCACATCAAAATTACTGATTACACAAGGCGGAATCGGAACCCATTTTTGGTGACTGTATTTGTAGAGAAGACGATCATTTTGAAGGATCTAAACCTAGAATTCTCATCATATCAGTTCTGATCTCATCAAAGAGGTGCAGAATTATTACAAGGAACCACCGGGTGTCGTTCAGATGCGACCATCATCCAGTGTCCCGTCTTTGGCCGAAGAGCTTTCAATTTTGGCGGTCTTGAATTTTGATGCACTTCTAGTGGAGGAGCTCGATGTCATTCATGCTTTTGTCTAAAGTTAGAGAATAAATCAAACGAAAAGCAGCACAATGAATTATAATTCACCGATGCGCTTGACACAGCAATTTTTTGAGACAATTTGTATTGATCAGTGGTACTGCTAATTCTAATTTCAGCAAGTTACTAAGTCAGCAAATTACGTATAGATAGAGTGGAAGACTTGATATGTAAATCTTCAAAAAGGATAGATGTTCAAATTCCGTGGAACTTGCGATCAACAAGCTAGCTTTATGAGGTTGACAGTTTACGTTGGCCTTTAGTATCTATGATGCGCTTCAAATTGTGCCAAGCCTTCTTAGGGCGATATCAACAGCCTTATAAATTTTCATGTTCCTCACTCACTACAAAGTAAATACAATTACTATTCCTTAGACATAATATCTAACGAGCAATAAACTGGGTGTATTTTAATGCGAAAATTCTGTCAAGGAAAAGAATTATTAGGGTCTCCGCATCTCGTAGGATATCTGCTTGCATACAGGACAACCAGCAGCAAAGTTCTCCGAACAAACAGGATATAAGTACTAGCTAGGCATCAATGCAGCTACACAAAGGTGATTTTATGAAAGAGGGTGTCTAATGAAACGTCATATGATTATTGCGGTATAATCAGGTACAAAATATACTTTCAAAAATTATCTCATGTATCCGTAATAATGAAAGAGTCGTTTTGACCCATTATTCCTTATGGATTTTTCTCTTCTGGATTTTCCAAATAACATTAAAAACCGCCCAGATAATAATTACCCTTCCAACTCATGGAACTTCACGTGCGCGCATGCTCAGCGCGGAACTTACTCGACAAGCAAACATTTGGCAAGCAAGATCCATATTGTAAGCTAAAGCTGCGCGGTAAGACACTTAGGACGCGAGTGCATGACAATGGACGTAAGTATTGTGTCGTTATCCGTGTTGTTTCCATGTTTCACCTTTGTTACTACGTTACTATGGATGTGTAGACAAAACCCCCGTGTGGAATGAAGTCTTTGTGTTTACTGTTGTTGACCCTCAGCTCGACCAGCTCATCGTCGAGGTCAAAGACAAAAATTTCACGTCTAGCACGCTAATTGGTGACTGCCGCTTGCCCGTGAACATGTTTCTCAGTGGCACTGTCTCAGATCAATGGTATACGCTAAATAATGGCTCGAGACGCGCGGGAGAAATTAATCTTCGCGTACAATTTCGAAGCCCAGGAGTACAGGCAGCACATGCTGCTCCTGTTGCATCCATGGAAAAGGCTTCAAAACCAGCGCCAGCCCAGAGTTACCCATACCCGCAGCAGTCCGGCTACCCAGCTTCACAGCAATATCCTGCCGCAAGTGCTTACCCATCGTCTAATGCGTATCCAGCCTCCAATGCGTATCCAGCTCCAGGTGCCTATCCGACCAGTGCATACCCAGCAACCAATGCGTACCCTGCTCCATACCCCACTTCAGCGGGCATGGCTTCTGCTGGTCCCTCTACATCACAATCATACAATCCGCAAGCATCATCGCAGTATGCACAACCTCCGCCGCCATATTACGCGCAACCACCCCCGCCACAATACGCACAGCAGCCTGGGTATTACCCGCCACCTCAGCAACCTGGTTATGGATACCCACCCCCTCCCAACGTGGCTTATGCTGTAGGCCCACCCGTGATAGTTGCGCAACCTGCAAAATCATATGGCCACAAACACCATGGCCATAGCTCGAAACGTGGCTTTGGTGGTGGTGGCATGAGCACAGGGCAAATGGCAATGGGCGTTGGCGCTGGTGTTCTTGGTGGTATGTTGCTAGGCGAGGCGCTGGATGACATTTTTGATTAGCTGCATACATTACGTGATTGCCAAATTTCTTTACGGAATTCAGATTTGTGATATTTTTGAACCATAGATTTGTTATCCGGTGAAAACGCAGAAAATGTCAACTTATCTGACTACTGAGTCGGACGCGAGCGTAAAAAATAGCGATCCGTGTTAGCTGGTTGATTACACTTTGCGCTTAATTCTATCAGTATTGTATATTCAATATCCAAAGCAGCTTTTCATTTTTTGTTGCTGTAAATTGGAAATCCCTTAGGTGTTCTATGCTATTGTACTGTGTTAATTGAATAATAATATCTGTAAAATGTGTAAAATCATGCAATAATACTGTTATTTCTTAAAAGAAGTACAATCTCTCAAGTTTTATTAAATACGATATATGAAACTTGTTGCCAGGCTTCTAAGCATATCATTTGGTTTCAACCTATACTGTATTAGCTTCTGCGACAAGGTGTCGAACACTTTGCAGCATTTTTCATCAATAAACGCACAGAGGGTCATTGTGAAGACCGTTCCAAAGCCGCAAAACCCAGACTTTTTCACGCACCAAGTACTTAATACTTGCGCAAGTCCAAAGGGCTTTATTTAGAGGTAAGACCAGCTGTAATATCTTCTCTTCTCTTCTAAGTTCTTTACACTACAACACCATCTCAAGTGTGGCAACCTTACATACATAGCACTCACGCGCAATTCACCCAAATTTACAAGAGTCAAAGACTCACGAATATAGCTATCATGCGGAACTGTGGGACTGCTTAAAATAGAAAAAAGGACGAGGAGACACCATCTGCCCTCAAAAAGGCTGGAAGGACCAAGAGACGCACAAGCTCAAGCAGGCTGATGTTCGTGCATACATCGCGACGAGGAGTACTGCAACAGGGTCATTGTGAAGAATTGCACATAATAAGGTTTTGCATCTGAAAGTTCGCGTTAACAAACGCACAGATTTTGGACTCGCACGCTCCAGCCAAAAGGGAAATCGAAGGCCTCTTCAGACACTACATGCCCACCGACAGCTGCTTGAAGTAAAGCTAAATGATCAAATGTCATAGACGCCATCGGGCCAGATCGGGTCACGCATGAGTCTTGCTTTCACAACCCAAGAGGTTGCATCTTTTGCTGCATCAGCACCAAGTCACATCATTCATTAAAAGTTGATGAGAAATCGTTCTATGTCGGTATAGATTGCACTGTATATGTGCAAAGGGCTGGTCAGGCCAGACCACCCAGTCAAGTTTTTTTGAGACAGAAATACTACAATTCAATATGGTTTAATGTTTCGCAAGACATCATCCGGAAGGAAGCATCCTGAACAGAAAATTTTGTGATTGCCAAAACATCACTAGTCTCAATCGTCTGTAGTGGCAGACACCTTGTTTAAGCGCATAAACTCGATTACTGCTCAAATTGATAATGTGATTCTAAGTCCTTGGATTCTGTTATCTGAACGATTCAGGACAAGTATAGCAAAGCCATAGCTGTAGTTATAGCCACGATGTTGCCTGAACAGCTAATTCAACTGACGATCGAACGTTGCTGGTAAGGCGACAGTCCCCATGGCATAAGTAGCTACTCCACAGCATCCCGATCAAGTTCCTTGCCGCTGTAAATGGGTCATCCATGTCTCTCATGAGCAGCTGACAGTATCCATTAACCTGGTCAATGGCATTAAGCAAAGTGTAGTTGATCATGCTTTAGAACCAACGTTTGCTCGGAATCGTAGCTATCTACGATAGCATTCATAAATCACCAATTGCCGTCTGCCTGTCTGACTTTGGCATCTAAGAGATTTGCTTTTTCTCACCGAGCCTACTTTGCGCTTCGCACGGCAGAAAGCGTCCATGACACCACACTGTTCCCATGATAAGGGCTATCCCCGTGTGAAGAAATAGCTGGTTCCAGGAACCAGGTCAAAACCACGACGCACCCACCTATCTGGAAGCATCACGCGTGGTAGATCTCCTGCGGTATTTTTTAACTGAGAGGGGAAGATCCGTAATTTATAAAGGATAGCTGCTTCACTCACCGCGCTCAGCTATCTGCGAGTCAGTGCCCTGAATGAAATACTCATCCATAACGTACGATAAGCTCGATTTCTCCCATGGTATCAACCGTAAGTTTTTGTAGATCCCATTGTCTGTGATTCCTAGCACATAATTACTACGGTCGATTCCTCCATACCAATGATAGCTTCAGTCTGATGTGCTGAGGGGAGACTTACGTACCCTGGTCCCCCCATGATCAGGTGTATAATCTATCTTGCCACTTGCCCATGAATCATTACGTCCCCGCAAAGTGAGACCACCACACGGCAGTGCTGGCTCAACAAACCGTCATATCCTGACAAGGATAAGTAATCCGAGTTAAATTCAGCGTCTGGCACTCATACTACCGGCTAGCCTTCGCTTTAAACTCCACAGATATACTTCGGCACCCAATGGCTTCAAATCTCCACCTGCCCTGGAAAAAATGACAGAAGCCTACGACTATTCAGCACCATCCCGCTAGAGATAAAAGTTGCGACCATTAGCTACTCCTGAGATTGAGGTTCATTTCCGCTTCTGCCTTTCCAGCTCTGCTCGCTGCACATAGCACTAATTTCGCGATTGTATGCGGACAATCCCACGTTGTGCAGAAAACTTCATTTGAAGATTACACATAAGCTATGGCAGTCTTACCGATGTCTCTGTCGCAGAAGCGCGGAATACGCAATAGGATTTCTTATCCTTAAATCCTTCAACTTTTTTGTACGATGATCTTGACTTTCCACAAAAAACCGGGGTACGGAAAAAGTGCTCCATAATCAGTGCGTTATCAATTGCTACCTCCTAAGTGGTTGGGTCAGATGGTAACGGTTATCGCCTTGTGAAGAAGGTATGACGTCGTTGCGGCGATGAGAAATTGTTTATAGCGTGGTGGTTCTCACCTCTCTTGCCGGTTATTAAATATATAAAGTGTACCTCAACTTTCTGGTTAATGAAGCAAGTACCCGTGATATATGTCGCTTCAAATATTTCCAGGTCAAAAGTGCCTCTTTCAGGGAGGTATTGCACGTGATCATCTGTTCTCGCGCGCGCCTTCTTATCTTGAAGATCACAATCTCTACGTGCTGTAGCATTTCCTCAATTCTTTGTATTATGTATTTCTTTCATCTGAAAATCATTTAAAAATCAAAATGAGTAAATTATTTTAATTTTTGAATCACTTTTTTAAAATAGGCTCATTGTGAGAAAAACAACCTCAATTTTTTGGCCTTATTGCAATAAAGATTTATTTTTGTTTTAGGGCTTTACCAGGTTGCTGTGAGTTTAATAGACTGATTGAAATCATGATCACCGGGTGACTTACCTCATCAAAAGTCGAAAGAAATTTTGTACCTGATAAAAGAAAGCTTGACTCGCTCTGTCGGTCGCAATTAGTTTTAGCAAGGTAGGATTTGCTGTAAGTTTCGCGGGGGGGGGTATTGTGTCGCCATTCGAGAAAGGAAGATACATAGAGTGCAAAATTCGTGCAGAATTGATATCGACCGTGAGCAATTTGGCTGAAAGGCTCTTGGTGAGGGCAGTATGTCGGGTCGGGATTAAATGTCAATGAAACTGTTTCGATTAGGAAGCATAGCCGGAAGGTTGTCGAGCCTTCTTGAAGACTCATTTCACCACAAGCAACAAACACTAAGTGGTAGAGAAGACACCCGGATTCAAAGTAATTGGGGAATGGCACAAATACTTCCATGAGAGGAGACGACAATCGGCACAGTGATTGCTCCAGAACTATCCACTATGAGCATTCTTATAATAAAGCACAATGATTGTGACCCCAGTGAAAATTTTAGTTTGTTTTGGGGGCGTGAATCTGGGTACACGCTCTTGTACCGCGTACATACATGTGATGCGTATGGTTTACATCGTGCACAGAAAACTTCAATTCAAGCTCAACACCTAACACTCTACCCAGCAGGCGAACCGAAAGTCTCAAAACTAACTGATGTTAGTTATCTCTTTTATTTGGAGAGTGATATATATTTGGTCTCAATTTAACTTATTTTTGCTTGGTGAACATAGTTGTTGGTCGATGTACTCGTTAACATATCGGACATCTCAACTACTAGTCATCCGCGGGGATATGGTCAGACAAAACGGACGGTAACTGATATTTTTTGAAGCACTTGCACTGATAGACTGCGATGTAACGGGGTTACACGTACCCTTGTATGAAAGGGCGGGTCACACAAGACGGTGCAACGGTACATAGGTGTGTATTACACAATTTAGTGTAATCACACATTGGTGTGGCTACATCATTACAAGAAGCCACTAACGTGGCAAGACTACCAGTAGTAATAAATATTAACTAATTTTTACTATATTACATACATTGATTGAAAAAAACCTAAGGTTTTAGATATTGGAGGCTCTACCGCAACCAAAATTAAATACAGCTTCGCATTCGAACACTTCTGTTCGAATGCGAAGCTGTATTTAATTTTGCTAAGGCTTTAGTACTTAGAGCTAGCGGATTCCGATCCGCTACACTTGTACTGGTTCTTGTAAAGAACGTAAGGTCGGTGACCCAAGCTTTGCTTCTTCTAAGCAAAGAGCTACGGCAGCCCCGCTGCACTTGGTAGCACTCGTAGTCAATCTCCGCCTGAGTCGTTGACTTATCCGCTATGAGGATGGAGCGATACTCCTATTTTTCTCAGGGCATGCAGGATGGACTTGATAAGCTGATGTCCCGGCTTGGCTTTAAGGGCGTGAAATCCCTTGTTTCACAAGGTCTCGAGACGATAAACGCGCGCCTAGAGGCGTTTTTTTCAAATTTTGAAAATGCTCTGTTTGAGCACCTACAGCAGAAGCTGTCAGTGTCGACTGCGTCCATGACGCCACTGTTGTTGACGGATGACTCCTCCTGAGCCAGGCTGCTCATGTGAGCGTTAAGGCCTTCGAGGGTAAGGATAGAGAAAATCTCTTGCTCTGAGTAAGAGAGGCCGAGATGACTATGGCATCCGCCAGGCTCTAGAACGAGCAACAGCGCGTGGCGCTAGCTATCACCAAGATCGAGGACCGAGGGCGTGAATGGGCACTAACGTGCGGTGCATCGGTTGAAGCAGCGTTTCTCCTCTGGGCGGAGCTGAAGCATCAGTTTTTGCGGAAGTCAGCTGTATGCTGAGGCGTTGGAAGCGCGGCTGCGTGACACCGTCACTGCGCCGAGAGTCCCTGCGGACCTCGGCGTCAAGTTTCTTGAGTTTGATAACGTAGGACGCTGCTTAGTCTTAGTTTTGGATGCAAGGTATAACCTTATCCTTGGTATGGCATGGTTGAAAAGTCATGAGCCATAGATTGATTGGTGGTCGAAGACCCTGGGCGCTACGCGCATGTCTCCTGGTGGAGCTTTGGCTTTCATGAATTCATATCCGCTAGAAAGCAGAAGCGCTATTGGCGCGGGCTCTGGACCGGGACGGTCAATGTGCTGGATATCGGATTATCCGAGTTGTCAAACACCGAAGATGTAATGATTAAGTGTCACGAGCATGGCTAGCGGGTTAAACATGGAATGGCACGTAACCCACTTAGCCCTGCCCGAGTAACAAAGCAGTTGCTGTATTCCAAGTGTAGCATGTTCGGCCAAGAGCCGAGGCATCAAGGACGAGGCCCCGGTGATGCGCGTGGAGTGGAACGTAACCCACTGGGCACTGCTCACGTTACGAAGAAATTGCTGCATACCAAGAGTGGCATGGTCGGACAAGGTCCGAGGCGTCGAGAGCGAGGCCTTATTGATGCGCGTGGAGTGGCATGTAATCCACTGAGCACTGCTTACGTTTCGATGCAGTTGCAGTATGCCAAGAGTGGCATGGTCGGACGAGGTCCGAGTCATTTTGGGCAAGGCCCTTTTGATGGGCGTAGCGTGGCACGTTATCCACTGGACGAAGACTGCAAAAATAGCGGCTCTTCGTCGGATGTTATTAATAACATCAAGGCTCTGATGGAGCAGGGAGTGGCAACACTGGACGAAGCCAAGTGCGTGTTCCCACTGGTCTTGATGAGACAACAAACATCTATAGTGTCGAGACGGCAAAGCCGTATGTTATGTGCAAGACGCCGGGCGTCGACCTTGACCCAGGGTGTGTCGACCGTAGACGGGTAGCGCACAGCTATATAACCTTGTCAACGGTATGATAGGAGAGGAAGACGACGTCACCCTCGGAGCTATTCCCGCTGTGAATGCTCTTGAACTGAACGAGGTGTACCTCGAAGAGTTTAACGGTGCCTTGAAGGCAGGCAATTTAGGCGAGGTGGTCGTTACAAGACCGAACGAGGAGATTGACTCGTCGTCGCTGCTGGATGAAGCTGTCCTGGAGGACACCAAGAGGGTGCCGAACACACGAAGTAGACCGTCATTCCATATGGACCCTTCGGGTCCGTATTATCTTTTGATATAGGAATTTTAAGACGTCGTCTCCAACGACCCGCCGTCGGTCCTACCTCCGGACCGAGGTGTGGGTTTTGAGATTGACCTGGTTCCGAGAATCAAATACTGCGTAACACGCCAATGGCCCCTGCCCAAAGAGTAGTGTGACGGCATTTACGCCTTTTTCCGTGTGAGACACGAGGCAAAGATGGTGCGCGAGAGCAAGTTTCCCCATTCGACATCCACGTTTTCTGTCCGAAAGCCGAACGGCAAGTGGCGTATCGTTCACGCTTACATTACGCTAAATGCTGCCACCATTCCGGCACAGACGCCGATTCCTAGAAAGGATGTTCTCCAGAACAATATTGTCGGCTGTACAAAGTACAGCGCACTTGACTTGACCGGCAGGCTCTACCAATTACCCATGAGAGCGAGTGCTATTCCGCTGACAGCGGTGAGTACTCCGATCGGGATGGCTGGTGATGCCCCAAGTGCTGTCAAATGCACCAACAACATTTATTCGTCTTGTGACGCAATTGTTCAGGCCCCACCGGGTATGCACAAACATACTTTGACAACATCTTCGCCCACAGTCGTGGGGAGTACGGGAGAACGGATGAAGAGAGCCACCTCGTCTATTTGAGAGCGGTACTCAAGTGTATGCGCACGAATAAGCTGTATGCTAATGCAGACAAATACATCTTCGGCGCTGAAGACATCCACTTAAGGGTGCTTCATTGGAAAGCGTGGCATTCGAGCGGATCTCGCTAAGGTCAAGACCATCGTGGACTGGCCGGTTCCGAGTAACAAAAAGCTTTTGCGCAAGCGGCTTAGCCACGCCAACTAGCTGCACAAGTATAGCAACTATTATGTGGAAATGGCACGGCCGTTGTCGAATCTTTTTGAAAAGGATGCGGAATGGTGTTGGGACATCGAGCATCGGGAGGCTTTTGACAGGGTCAAAGCCAGCCTCTTTCATACACCAATACTGGCGTTGCCAGGCCCCGATCGTCATTTGAGTGTCGTCTATGACGCTTCGAACTTTGCCATCGGCTGTGTGCTGCTACAAGCAGACGCCGAGGGGCGAGATCGGGTGATCGCGTTTGAATCTCGCCGGCTTCAGGCTGCGGAAAGGAACTCCTCAGTTCACGACAAAGAATTACTTGCGATGAAGTATGCACTTGTCAAGCTCAGGGCGCACCTGCTTGGCTCAAAGCCGTTTGTGATCTACACAGATAATGTGTTATTACGCACTGCGACTCAGTCGCCTCACCTCTCGCAGAGAGTAGCCATACAGCTCTCATTCTTCTTTGAATATAACTTCGAGGTGAAGTATAAGTCAGAAAAGCAGAATGCTTTGGATGGTTCGTTGTCACGCAAACCAAATGATGAGCTTGCTCATGTCACGACGGTAAATTTGTCAGTGTCGGATTGATACGCGCCGCACACGCGGAAGATATGTGCGTAGCGCTGCTAAGGGCTTTCGAAAGCAAGAAGTGTGGGAATTCGGACAAGAAGTTGTCGTCGCGATTGCGCGCACGGTTGCACCGATATTCGTTGAAAAACCGACTCGTCGGATACGACACGAATTGTTGCTCCTCACGGATGAGAATATCAAGTACTGTATTCTCTATGAGGCTCGCGACACCCCACTCAGAAGTCATCTCGGTCGTGAGAAGACCTTCAGCTCTGTAAGTTGCCACTACTGGTGGCAAAAGCTTTTGAGTGGACGAGCACATATGTGCGCACGTGTGAGATGTGTCAGAGGATGCAACTCTTTCCGAATGCGGCGGTGCCGCTGGCCAATTCGCCGATACCCTCCGGGTATTGGGAGTCTATGAGTTTAAACTTTGTGTTTGGCCTGCCGATGGAATTGGCAGGCAATTCGGGTGTTGTGGTCTTTGCGGATCGTATGAGCAAGATGACGCATCTTGCGGCAGTTCCGGACGCCATCGTCGGTGTAGGCTAGCGACGCTGTTAATGAAAAATGCCTTTCGACAGCATGACCTCCCATAATCAAATGTCTCTAACAAAGACCCACTCTCCACTGAGAGGTTTTGGTCTACAATCTTCAGGGTGCCGGGCACCAAGTTGACTATGTCAACAGCGGGTTATCCGTAGACCGATGGTCAAACTGAGTGAATCGCGTCGTCGAAGACGTTCTTCGCAGCGTCTGCACTGAAACGCCGAAGCGCTGGAGCGCCATGCTGCCACTCATAGAATTTGCTCTGAACAATGCAGTATATTCATCTAACGGCTACACGCCGTTCTACGTGAACGGGCTTGTTAATCCTCGCATCCCGCTGACACCGCCACCCCATGGCTCAGAGCTTGGTGTGAGAGTAATCGCCGAACGGCTATCTGATGTCAGCCCCGTCACTGTCCGTGGAGAAGCCGATGGCTTCCTGTCTACTATACCGAGTGTTCTACGACACGTTCGCGATGCGATGGCTGAAAGCCAAGACATGCAGAAAGAATATGCAGTTGGAAAAGGGAGAGGAAACGTGGAAAATGTTCAGGTCGAAGGCCTAATTTTTTTATAAGCCTACTAACACATACAGTCTCTGCTGTCTTTAAGATGAAGCTCCGTCCACGGTTTAATGGCCCTTTTAAGTTCGTGACCAAGCGAGGCCTTGCGTATACGCTGAACCTTCCGAGAAGGATGCGCGCCAAACCGGTGTTTAATGTGAGCTTGCTTTAGCCGTACCGGGATCCAGCGCAAGTAAACGCGGAAGCATTGGCGCCGGGGCGGTGCTCAGAGACGCTCGGCCACGCAGAAGCTGAACCAGCAACTGGTTCAAGGAACGGAGTGTAACAGTTTCCGCTCCCAACGGCGCAAGGCGCTCCACCGTCGCACGAAGAGACGTATTCGTCTGCTCGAAGGCTAGGAGCCGCTCCGACAGAGCTTGATAATCCTCAACGTGAGGCAGTCGGTGCAAAACTGCTTCAGGCTCTCGAGGTCTTCCGCACAGCGGTAGCCGACCTCGGAAAGAAGGTCGGCAGAGTGCCGATGACGACAGACCTTGTCTTCCAATGCTTGAAAAACATCGCGAGTCACCGGACGGCGATCGACCAAGTTGTCATCGCCCGCCGACGACTCTTCGCGATAAAAATGGCGGCGTCCACTACCACGTGGAACGCCCTTGTGGGTCGAACTCGTCGAAAAGGTCAAACCCAATATCTTGTTAAGCGGCGGGAATACTCAAACTCGGGGTGGTTTGATGTGCCACTTCGGCAAGACTGCCCGGATGTCATGGACGCTTATGATCAGAAGGATCATGGCGCTTCGCATTGTCGCACGCCCCGCGCTTCTCGGCAGTAACCCGGGAAGCCGGAGGGCCATAAACTGAGCTCAAGCTATGGCCCTAAGCTGCTGTGGTCGTAGACTCACCCGTGTGAGAAACCACAGATCCCGCGTGAGCGTGGTGGATAATTCCATGTGTCGCAGGGTCCCAATACGCAGGAAGTCGGCGTTGCGCTTTGAGTTTAAAAAAATAATCGAAGATAGCATTCTTCGCGCAAATTCACTTCCTTGTGGCTCCGCTGTTAGCTAGACAGCGAGGAAAGCCGCTGCACCCATCGCTCAAGAACCTCCTCATCATTTGCAGCGGTTTCACTGGGTGCGAGCACCACAGGAATAGTCCGCATTGCAGGTACAGGAATACCTTCTTTTTGAGCGCAAAGTCGAGCGCGGTACCTAATCATTATGATCTCTTGTGGTACCAGGAAGCGAGCTAGGAGAACTTTTCGCTGGTCAAGATCAGCTTGTGTAGTGACCAGGGGCCCAACTACATAGATGCCTAAAGATTGGGTGATCGTGTCTTCGCTTCAGTAGCGATATTAGCCGAGTAAAAGCCGTTATTACACAAGAATCTGGAAGCTGGGCTTACGTCGCGCCGTTGGCGCACCTCATCCTCCTCGTCTTCCCATGCTGGGGGAGAAGTATCCGACTCGTAGTCGACTTCCTCCAACTTCACGACGAGAAATTGCGTCGCTTAGGGCGTGCGCGGTGTATGGCCATCCGTTACCAGGGGCTTGGGATGTGCTTTCCATGTAGCCACGGACGTACTGTCCGGTTATGTACCTCGTACAGAAGAAGAAGGGTTTTGATCGCGGGTGCCCTCGGGCTAGGCTGGATATTTTGCTTGTCATAGACACAGAGCTCATTGAGCGGAGAATGGTCAAGGATGTTCTTAAGAGCATAACGGTGTCTCAGACGCGTGAGCCTCGTATGAGGCGACAGTTAAAAGTGAATTGTGGATACACACAATTCTGATGGGGGGAGAGTGTAACGGGGTTACACGTACCCTCGTAAGAATAGTCGGGTCACACAAGATGGTGTGGGCGTACATAGTGTGCGTAACCCAGGTTAGTGTAGTTACACCATTGACTACGCCGTAACAAGAAGCCAGTACGGGGCAGGATTGCCAGCAGTAATGCATATTAATTTGGTTTTACTATGTTAATTAGGTATTAATATTTTAATCAGGAAATGCAAGCTTTCAGATACTAGCGGCTCTGCCGCAATTAAACAATTAAATACAGTTTCAATTTGAATGGAAGAGCCTCTTTACCTTGGTTAAATTTTTAAATGCTCTTGGAGGTGGCGAACTGCGATCCGCTACACTCGTTCGTTCTTGTAATGAGCTAAAGGTCGGTGACCTTAGCTTACGACTTCGAGCAAGTCGTTTTATTTTCGTTTAATAAGGCAAGACATGCCTCTACAAGCTTTATCTACATTCTATAATTGTTTTGCTCAACAGTTGTTGTTTGGCACCGCCCCATAGTGGCTTCGGTCTTAGTGGAGAAGGGACGATCATTACACATCGATTGCACAACGACTTCAAAGCAAAATCACTCATGATTCAAAACGTCATGCACCGGATATTTGATGCCTTGACTGATAACCAAGATGTCAAAAAGAAACTCACCAATGCTAGACGCGGGCAAAACACACATTATATTTTGGGGGCAAATAACTTCAATCGCTAAGAACTTATGACCCGTACCGACACCTGCCGCATCCACACAAGTATGTCTGCGGTATTAAAGACTAGGTTACAGCCACGTTACATCTGGGCGTTTAGTCTGCAACAAATAAGGAATTGAATTGGAGCTATTTTTCTTACATCTCAATCGAAAGCAAACACATTTTTTGCTCTTCCGGAGCTTACTGAATCCATATCACAATTTGCTCTCATGATTAGTCGGATGTGAAATACCCTGTTGTAGACAAAGCCGATTCTCGACCGTTCCTTATGGCTAAGCCACTCTCGGCGTCGATGCAACAACGCGATACTGAATCGTTGGGGGGGCTCAAGCCACGCAGAGTAAAGGCGAAGCTCAGAAATTTGACTCTCGATCTGACTTATCTCAGCACGCCAATACACTCGGGCAGAATATGCATAGGGAGCTCGTGCGACAAAATTAGTCTTTGTCGGCGCTTCCGGATAAGCAAAGGGTCGCCGGCCTACATCTACGCGGATCATTCTGTGTGCCGATGGGTGCACCAGAGTATAGATGATGTGGAAGAATACCCTCATTTGGAAAGCACATGAGAGTTTGAAGCTCCATCTCGAAGTATATACGGCGTAATACATCAGTCGTAAGACTAGATTTATTACTTATCACTTGACGTGCCCATATGTACCCACAAACCTCTTCTTTACGGAATCCCATCACGATACTTTGGTACCTCTGAATACTCACAATTACACAAAAGCGTAATAGGAATCTTGAATAATTGTACTAATTATGTAGAAGACTCACAACGACACTAAGCAGGATTAAAAATCTCCTTGCTTGTACGCTTTCTTAGTTATCACGTTCTAGTCGAATTCTTATGAGACGAATACCTCCATGAACTTCAAGAAATAGACTCTCGTTGATGTGTATGAATTCGTGTCGTAAACTAACAATATCATGGTTATCTCCAAAGCAATATAAATTATTGTTGGTTAACCATAACCAAAAATTGGTATTAAAAGTACAATTATTGCCATAGTACAATTAATGCGGATTCTCGTCATCATCATCCATCTTCAATAATTTACGTCTTGTTATGGTATTGTGCACCATATATAATGTCCTTTGGCTCTTTTTATATCATAAATTGTGCCCTTATGACAGAAACGTACCGTATCAGGATCATAATATTAATCCAATTATTCAACACCCATATCTCCAATTATTTTGCCGCTCACACTCCACCATAAAGAAAGTTACTGTCGTCTTCATATTCAGTACAAACAGGCTCGTTTAACCACAAAGCAGATCATACAATACAATCACACATCAAAACACGTACGAAAGTTTGTCGAATCGTTGGTAGAATAAGGCCACGTGGTCACTATTTGACCTAAACGTATATTGAGTCCCATCATTTGGCAAATAAAATACTATACAATCAATAATATTGGCATTCTCTCCCAAGTTAAGTGAGTACCAATTTCACTTCTACTTGTACACTGGCACTTTTTGTACCATGGCCGCCACAACCGATGCACTGCAAACGGCACAAACGGGTGTCGAAGTGCGATTAGATGAACGGAAAATGTACGTGGCCGAGTGGGCGGACGGCGCAGCCTTTGGCTTTACTGTTACGCCCGTTCAGTCGGATAGGGGCACAGTCTTATGTCTAGCACGTCGTACTTCGAGTACTGGATTACAAGACGTTGTACCAGGTGACATGTTGATTGCAATTGGAGATACAAAAGTGTACCATTTGGGTGCTGGAAATGCCACGAAATTATTGCGGTCGGTACAGAAGCCTATACATTTGACATTGCAAGTATCTCCCTATAATGACACGGCGAAAGATTTACCCAATCTTGCACCAAATGAGTACACGTACTTATGGGAATCGGGTCCTTTAGGTATTGTACTTACCACAGATCCAAAGAGTAAATTACCACTTGTGAAGCGATTTACTGGCAAGATCGAGAATGAAACACTGGAACGAGACGTGAGTGTGGGTGATGAACTTGTTTATGTCAATGAAACACCAACAAGTGATCATTCAATTAGTGCAATTATTACATTTATCAAAGAGTTACCAAAACCGATTACATTACGTTTTCGAAAACCTTTGGCTGAGTTACACATGGAGTTACCCGAACTTAAGGAAGGAGAGTACGATTTTTTATGGGAATATGGATCGTTAGGACTTGTTGTTGGTACTTCTGCAGAAGGATTGCCATTTGTACGATCATTTACGGGGAAAGGCACGTCAAAACAATTATCACAAGTACAAGAGAATGATGAGATTATTCTTGTGAATAATCGAGCAGCTCAAGAGTATGGATTTCATGAAACGATGCAGTATATCATGAATGTCCCAAAACCAGCAGTTATTCGATTTCGTCGACCTCTTGCAAATCGTATTAAAGTTGATACTTCTCAAGAGATTGTATCAAGATCTTCAATGCCAAATGCTCAGATGGCTGCACTTAGTGTAACAGCTTCACCTCCTCCAATGCGTTCAATGAGTGCTGCAAGTGGCTCACCATCCGTACAAAAGTATAGTGTCAATTCAACTGATCAGGAGGCTACGAATGGATTATTAGGGTATCGAAGTGGACGAAGTCAAAGTTCAATATCAACATTACGTCGTCAACAATCGAGCAAATTGCAGTTTTCTGGAAGTGAAGATTTGACAAATAGTCAAGTGGTGTCTAACCACCAAGTCGAAGACCAAGGATATTCACTTCCACCACAATCTGTACCACAACCACAGCAGATGCAACACTCATCACTTCAACAATCGTATCAAGAACCTTCGAGCTCATTTCATACGGATGTGGAATATTTTGAAATTGATTCAAATGCGTATTATCAAATCCAATGGACTGATGGACCCTTTGGTTTGACTGTTCGAGAGGCTCAATCAAAACAAGGACCTTTAGTGCTCATTACAAAACGTACAGGAAAAGCAACATGTGCTGGATTACGACGTGTAGCTGTGGGAGATATTCTAATCAAGATTGGCGACCAAGATGTTCGTGAATTGGGCTTTGAACGATCGACTTTGTACTTACGTAATGTACCTAAGCCGATTGTGCTAACATTTCAAGCAATTGATTAGGTAAACTAAGGGTACTTTTTTGCTTAGTGATACTTGGTATGGGGTTTTCACTTTGAACTATTTTTGAGGTACACAGTCGTTTTACGCTGTTTCTTACGTAATTGAAGAGAGCTACATACTCAAAAAGTTTACAAATTGAGTCTTTTTGCCATATACGTCTCAAGGATGCACCCTCTCAAGTTCGATATATGCTTATTGATAGAATAAAATGTCTATTTATAGTATACTACAAATACTTAATTAATAGTAATTTTCGAAATGATACTCGCATGGCTCGTGGTGCTAAGTGCCATGGTTTTAACGCTTGAGATTCAGCGACATTTGCTCCTTGCACGTATTCTTGGTGCTATTGTCATGGTTTTAGGATGGGGATGTCTCTTATCGTCTCAATTACAGCTTCAAGCTATTTGCTGTGCAATTGTATATCATGGTTTAATTGAAGGGTTACGACAATGGCAACGAAATTTTCCATGTGTGTTTGAAGACCAAAAAGATCGTAAAATTGTGCTATGGCTTCTTTTTTGGGCTCGTGTTTACACATGGGGTACGACATTAGGTGGAATTGAGGAACTTACAACATTAAAAAAGACTCAAGAGACGTCATTTCAATGGCAAGAGATTGGAATGTTAGTATTTTATCATGAAATACTCGAAGTACTTGTCATGTTATATTTTACAGATGAAGAATTGTCATATGTATGGAAAAGACGCATTGGTCATTGGTTTGGTGCATTGATTGTAGGAATTTTAAAGACTTGGAAACAATTGAATGTTGATCATTTTCTTAATGGTCTCTCACCATTAGCACTAATTGGAATTTTACTTATGGTCATGTGGCTCTCAATTGAGATTCGATGGGATCGTATTGCTCAGAAATATAATCCAACTTTGATACAAGAGGAAGAAATGAAGGTACGATGGAGTTGAGATGTGTAGAACGAGCGAAATTACTACTTTATAGTGGTTATTTAATAAAATATTTCATCTGAAAAATTTTGCACCTATACACTCCACATTGACGTTTGTTTATGACGAAGTCAAAGTTGATCGACACCAGGTTTTGATAATTCGATCATTTAAAGGTGGAAGTTGGATGGAAAGTGGTATGAGTTCGTCCGTCGCTCGTGTGTTTGTCACAGAAGAGGGAGCAGTAGAGCTCCGTTTTTTTTGTAAAGGCGAGATTAAGACGCTCTCAAAGTCGTATCCAGTCCTTAAACTATTAACTTGCGGTAATCGTTTGGTGCCTTCAAGCTTCCCTCGTCGCAATCTCGACGGTAACGATCTAGTCGGTGTATTTGTGGTTTTAAACAATCCTTCTGTGTCTTGAAGATCGGGTAGGATTCGCTTATTTGTGGACTCGAGCGATTTAAGCCTAAATACAAAAGCCATAATAAGTGTCTATCATTAAGAAACCTTAGAGCATGCACTAACCTGAACGAGCTTGGCAGTCGACGATGTGCCAATGACCGTGTACCAGGTGATTCCACGTAACTATCTTGTAGTGGTATATGAAGCATCTTATTTCTGTCATCTGGTGATCGTGAAGATTGAAGATTTGATCTTGTCTTATCTTGTTGATCCAAAGTCTCAATATGTGCCAGTCTTATTGCATCCTCATGCGGTTCAGGCTCTAGAGTTAAGTTGTTTTGTAATCTCGAAGACAATGCTTGACGAGTCCACTTTGAAACAACTTTATCGACATCCATTTCATCTTGACATTTATTTTGATGCTGCCACTTTCTTACTCGTGTTCGACTTGTTCTAGAAACGTTAACAAATGGATGTTCTAATAGATGAGTGATAGTACCACGTTGGACTGGATCTCGTTGAAGACAGAGCATAAGAAACGAGGCAATCTACAAAAGAAGAACTTGTAAGTGATGAAAGATAGAAATATTTTCTTTTCGTGTATCCAACGTACTTCTGTGGGTACATGAGTTGGAATAGTAGGCGTCTCATTACTAGAGACAATTCGATACATAGTTGTCAATGGATTACTATATTGTTGCCATGGTGAATGACCTGTAATCATTTCAAGTACTGCACATCCAAGACTCCAAACGTCAGCACGAAACCAATAATCAAAGTGTATTTCTTCTTCAAATGATTGATTTCGAATGATTTCAGGTGCCATCCATTGAGGTGTACCCTTTAAACCTTCAACAAGTGATGCCGACCCAACGAGTTTTAATGTTCCGAAATCTGCTAATTTAACATCCAAACGACTTCCATTATTTACTGTCGTAAGTAAAATATTTGCACATTTAATATCACGATGAGCAATTCCATTTTGATGAAGATAACGTAATGCTTGACACAATTGACGTGTATAACGCTGGACTAAAGTATAGGATAATGGACCAAATTGTGACAATTGGGAACGTAGAGATCCATGAGGTGCAAATTCCATATAAATGCGTAATTCGCGCTCTTTCTTCTCTGTTGCTTGATAATAACGTATCAAATGTCGATGACGTAATCTCTGCATTGTCTTTACCTCTCTCTTTACTGCTTCAATAGCTGGAAGAGGTAAATCCTTTGTCCATATTACTTTTACAGCTATTTCTCGACCAGACATTTGGTCTTCACATCGATAAATGATACCTTGGGCACTAGACAAGTATCACATTTTAGTACTTTATTTCAATACATTACAATACTATATTGCCGCGACGTACCCTTGTCCAATCTTTTCTTTTCGTACCCATTTCGTCGATGTTATCTTGTCACAAAAAGTTGGTGACTCAATTTCTGAAACCTTATTATTGCACGCTTGTGAGTGCTCTGGAGACGGAGGAAAGAGTAACAAGCGATCATCGTGCAAATTGTCAAGTACCAAACCATCGAAACTTGATGTTACGTCTTTCATGTCGATAAAGTAGAGTAGAAGCTTGGAAGCTACATTTATAGGTTTGTCCTAAAATAGATGTGAGCATTAAAATAGACCTATTTTACTATCTCATACTTGTTACTATACCGATATTTAAAAACGCTAAGTGTGTGGACCAGCAAGTATGGCTAAGGTAAAGTTGCATGTTGGTAAGCGCCTTGAGTATAGAGTTCTGATGTTTTATTGTGCAGGGCAAAGCGAAGAATGTATTGATCAAGATGTTGAGTGCAGCAGGCACAGGGTACGTTAAATACTTGAGCTATAAAGAGAATATTATCACACCAACTAACTATAACATGACCAGATTTTTTTACACCACGACAAAAAATCCGCGAAATGTTACGAGAAAACTTTCATTACGCAAGGTAC